AAGAGAATAGGTAACAAAGACGTAAAAAAACGGAAAACGAAAAAGAGTAATGTGGGAGACGATGAAAGTGAAGAAGCGTCAGGGAGCACCGCGATTTCAGGACAGCGAAATTTGAGATCAAGTAACGTGATAGACAAGGATGCGTCAAAGAATGAAGTTGTGAAAAAGCGGAAAAAGATTGATGTGACTGTAGAGGATGAAAGTGGCGAGACGTCAAATAAAGGAAAAGGAAAGAACAATAAAGCCGTGAAAAAACGAAAAACGAAGTAGAAAATACTGTTATATTAACGTTTAAGTCATGGGTTAAACCTTATTATAATCCATTAATCTTTTAGTCGAATTAATCTTTAGCCAAACACTTCAGAGATTTATTTTTTATAGGGTGAACAAAAAAAAAATTTCGAGATTGTTGGTCAATTCATTTCAGGAGGGATAATCCCAAAATAACAAACTAAGCTAGTTAATTCGTTTTATATTACTATTCTGTAAATACTTACATGTTTCTGCATCAATAGAACAATAAAACTGGCCCTGGTGGCCGATTTCGCATACATAATCGTGTTTACTTTTGCATGTGTATTTCGGGGTTTTATTACGTTGTATTGATGCGATCGAAAATTTTTCTTGACATTTTTTGACGAACATTTTTGGTGATTTGTTCGCTGAAATTTCTTTTGTGAAACAATGAGCCCGCTCTGGCATTTATATCTCCATGATAAAGAATTGAATATAGTATTTTATATAAAAAATGAGAAATAAACAGGCTCAAAGGGGCGATTCTACAGATTCATCTAAAATTGATGTGTTGAAGGAATTAAATTCGAAACTCATTGCCATAATTGATGAGCTTAGAAAAGAGAATGCTTCACTTAGAGATAAAAATACTGAACTCTCGACTAAGGAAGCAGGATTCATGATTAGAATAATGGAATTAGAACGGAACGCAAAAGAAAGTGCTGAGAATGAGAAGCGAAGTCAGATAGAAAATTCCGAGCTTAAGGGTAGAGTAACGAAACTAGAACATGACATCGAGGAGATTAAACAGAAACAAATTACACCTAATATTTCAGAACTTCACGCTGATATATCAGTATCGAAATCCCCTATTCATTCAGAATTACCAATCAATCCGATAGCATCCTCACTCCGTAGGACATTACCACCCATTGAAAACCAACCCGATGAAAAGAATATGCAGATTACTGAATCGATTCCCAAGGAATTGTCTATTTCTCCTGATATAAATTCTAACAATACTACTGGAGAGATAAATCTTTCCCAAAGAGAAAGTGATATCCCAGCATCCGATATACCTGATAACACTACAAATTCTGATGAACATCAAGAAGAGGCGAAGTCTCGAGTCTCCAATTCATATTCGACTGAATTATCAGCGGAGCTAGCACAGCCAATATGCGTAAAGCCTAAACCATCAGAAGATAAGGAAATAGATGACTTTCTGGTTAAAAGATGTAATGAACAGGTTCGTATCGAAATAATTGAAAGAAATAGGGAGAAAAAGCTTCAACGTGATTCGCCTACTGAAAATTCTCCAAAAGAGAACACTTACATGTCTAATATTAAATCTAGTATATCTCCCGAGCAGAAAAAAGAACAAGGTTTAATACAGGAGATATCAATATCTATTAAAGATCAGAGTCAAGCAACCGAAATTTCAGCGAACAATTCGCCAAAAATGTTCGCCAAAAATCATGTGACCAAAAATTTAATTCAGGAGAGTAGTGGGGAAGATAATGTTATTTTGTTTTCTGCATCAAAAAGTAAAGTACTACTAAATTTAACAAGTTTGTACAAGAAAGCTTGTGATGCGGAAAAGCAAGTGATTAAAGTTAATCAAGATGAAATTACATGTTGGCATTATTATATTATAGAATTCGATAACCAGGTTAAAAATCTTATGAAATCTGTTCATATTGGTGAGAAAAAGGCAAAGGGACAAATTTATGATTTTATTATTGCACAACTAAATACCAAGCGTAAAACGTTACAAAAGCAAACCCAAAAGGCTAGAAAGGTTTATAATTTATTCAAAAAAATAGGGATAGATAAGATTCAGCATATCAAAACCTTTAGTGCAGATGCTATTTCAAGATTTACTAATTCTCAGATTCAAATGATAATAGATCACTTCGCCAAAAAGCCTGATATAGAATATTCCGATGATTCTTCTGATGACTTACTCAAAACTAAAATTAATGAGGAAGCTAAAAGAATTTCATCAGAAACAGAGGTAAGTATTACAACCACCCCCTCTATCCTGTTGTCTCATACATATAATTCGGAAGTTATGATAAATGAGGATGTCAAATCTTTGCCAGAAACTGAGGTAAGCATATCTGCTAAATCGATTTCAAAGGAACCAGAAACTGTAAATGTATTCGATAAGTATAATGAAAACGATGGTGAATTCTCTGATGATAATGATGATGAATTCTCTGATGATAACGATGATGGAGATTATTGCAGTTTTTCTGACGAAGATGAACCAGGTTATTACTATGATTTAAGTAGCGGGAAAAAAACTTATAAGAATTCTGATTATTTAATCAGTGCATATTAAAAGCATAGATTAATGAAG